CGGTGTTGGAAAGAGAGAAATGGCTATGGCGGTCATGCTAATTACCCCCGTCTCTTCACATCTTCCCATATCAACACACTGAATCTCACTTACAACCCGAATCAACCCTTTCAAACAATTAGGAAACATGCCTAAATGAACCGAAACCCGATACCATTTCCAACCTCTCAAGCACCTACAACATATCTTTGATCTCAAAACGCCTTCCTCTACCAAGTGAACCAAACGCATTTATGTTCTTCTTCTAGTCTTGCTAATTGCAGCATCGTTGAATTTGGGAGTCCCCAATAGTGACCAAGAACGAAAAAAGGCCAACATAATTAATTTTGTCAAAATATGTCAAAGTGGAATCCATCCATTTGTTCTTGTATTGCAACAAAATGAGAGGATTGAGACTATGGTTGACACAAAGTAAAACTTGAGATAAAATCTGCAAAAAAAGTGAAAGATTTAGGACCACATATGCAACTATCCCATAAAAATATACCAAAAACATTTTTAAGATATAAATCAAACAATCTGAAATATAAACCCATATATAAGAGCTTGTATTATTCCTCTTAAACAATTTTAATCTTTTTAGATGGAATCTAAATATTGATAAGATATTAATGTTCATTAAATTTTAATGAGCAATTCGATATTAAAATTCAAATGAATATACGAATTTTAAGATTGATCCCATCTTGCGATGACATATTAAAGAATAAATCCCACATCGATTTATACTTTGGTTTATAATCGACCTTTATTATACAAGTATAAGGACGAAAACAACCATTGAAATACTTGAACCTTTCATTTTAAAAGATCTCGAGAAGCACTTTGAACCTCGTCCAATTGATAAATCACTTGGCAATTAATTTTTTAAAATAAGTAATTCAATTTTCATTTTCTTAAGATAGTATTTTTGCTCTAGACTAGACGCGTATTTTTTTCGCTCTGGAGTAAGTCGTGGATATGTAACTTTTATCTCAAGTCAAAAGTCCACACGCTTGTATTTGTGATAAAGAAATCCATCTTTTAAGATAGAACTCGAAGAAAACTAAAACCTTAAATTTATCAAATTAATTTCCATAGACGTGAAATTCAAGGTAAGAAAAGAATTTGCAGAAATCAAAATTCTTGAATTTTGTTTCGTGGGACCAATTGTGGGGTCTAAACCTACACATTTGATTATAAAAAATTAGACTTTTTCATCGACTTTAAAACTCGTAAACACATTTCACCATCAGTGTAAAATTTTCAAATTAATATCGTAGTCATTGAAATCTCATATGAATTACACAACAAATCAATAAAATCATTGTATGATATTCATCGTTCAATTACCACATAATTTAAACAAACATTATTGTTTGTCGGGCTATTCTTTTATTCTAAATTTGTACAATGTCACGCCCCCTAATTGAATATAAATTATATTAAAAAGTTAGGGGCCTTGCCAACCCTACAAGAAATTTTCTGAATTAAATATATTTGACATATATTACAATTACTTGACAAAAGAAATTTACAATGTCAGATGCTTTGTTGCTACACGTGAATCGTCATCGTACGCGGGATAGAACCAAGGACGAAGGCCCCCACAACTACATTGGATACCCTCTGGATCGAGATGAACTCATCGAGCTTGTTGCCTTTTATTTTCCACGAGTTTGTTCTTCTACTCGATCTCGAGATCATCCTTCACATAACTAATGCACTCTTTTAGCTAAGTGTTGAGTCGAGTAACTTCGACATTTGGCAAATGCAGTGGCTTACCATCTCTCTTTTTGACTTTTTTGATATTTAAAACTCTTGTTTGATATGGATTAAAATCAGATTTTTATTAAATTTTGATAAAAATTAATGAACTGTAATTGAAAAGTTGTAGATTAAATAAAATATGTGGTTAAAATTAAGTATTATTTTTTATTTAGATTAAAATTAAAATTTTGATTTCCATCAAATAGGAGCATAATATGAAAGCAAGTCAAATAAAAGACCATGTTTTAGGTGGCCCGTAGCAACGTTTCTCGGCTTCAAGAGGGTATCGTATCGAATGCAAGTTGTATTGTACTATTTTTAATGCTTTCTATTGTCTCTTTAATGTTTCATATGGCGTTTAGCCATGTCGATTTTAATCTAAATTAAAGTCAATAATTCATTTTGGTCACATATTTTATGGGTCCCATAATTTTTTAACCATACGTTTTATTATCTTCTATTAAAATTTATTAAAAATTTGATTTTAGTCTTCACCAGGGGCTTGATTATATTAATTAAAAAATAAAATAAATTTGAATCTTGTTTACTTTACTTTCTAGTACAAACTAATATGATGTACATATGTTTTTTTTTTTAAATTTTAGAATGATAATCTGACATAGAAAATTAAAAAAAACTGAAGTCTCTTAATATATATATGTTTTCATTCTAGAGATTTGACAGTAATTTAGGGTGATGTAGATTTTTTGAGAATAGATTTTGTGAAATATGATTTTTCAAGAATGTATGATAAAAAGTAAGAAAAAGTGACTGGTTCAACTGCAAAATTATTTTATTGAGAAAATAAGTATTTGAAAATGAATTTGAATTTTACATAATATGTACCAAATGGAGATTTTGCCTCACTTTGGTTTGATAAAAATTAGATTTTTAGTAGATTTTGATAAAATTTAATGAAATGTGTATTTGAACAATGAAATATGTGGTTGAAAATAAATTTAAAACTAAATGAATTTTTTAAAAATGAAGGCCAAACATGGAATTAATATGGTATTAGTTTCAGGCGGAGAAAAGCGGACGTGGGGACGCGAAAAAGTTTTCAATATAATTTTTTTCATGTATTTGTTCGATGAGAAATGCGTGTCTGCTTTGTTTTACCCTGAGAAAAAACAACTATTCATAGTATTAACTAATTTTATTATAATAAACGATTTTTTCTCATGTTGTGTTCAAAATCTTCAACCTTTTACTCGAACTCCACGAGAGAATGGGGTTTAAGCAATAATTAGAAATGTTAAGTTGCTTTTTTATTTTAAAAAAATTAATTAACTTCAAACAAAATATACTTGAATGCTTGTCATAATTGAAGCTACACACATGCACAATTATTTTGTCAACTTATGCTATATTTATGAGTAATGCTATGTAGTCTCACCGTAATTGTAATCCCAATTTAGGTGGCTCTAAATGATAGGTTAAATTACTTATTTAATTTTACCTATCATTTAATATCACATTAACGCCACCTAGACTGAGATTGTAACTCCAGCGGGACTAAATAAAATTACTCTTTATTTATATTTCCTTTCCCAAAATTAGATTGCTGCACGTATTATTATTATTATTATTATTATTATTATTATTATTATTATTATTAAATCAGTTAAATTCTTTGTTCCCTTAAGAAATAATACGATATAGTTTAAAGCTCGATAATGGTTTGAAGAAATTCATGTTTATCATTCATAGGTTGGATTCCTTATCTCTTAGACATGGTTTTCTTTATAGGAAAAACATAAAATCATGGGACTATCGATAGGGAAAAAAAAGGAGAGAAAAACAAAAAAATAAAAAATAAAAAAATAATGAAAATAGGATAATTCTTGTGGGATATCTAGGCTTGATCGTATTCTGTTATAAATGAAAGTGAGCAATTGAATTATCCTCATCTTTCAAGAATATGCGGGCATTTTGTTTTCTACGAATCTCTTACTATTTATTCAACTTTTTCTTTTGTCACAACACTAATATTATTATATCATATTTTTATAAAATAGAAATATTTAATACGTGTTTCAATTACGAAGATTATACTTTCCGATGCTAGTACTGCAGTAAAGCGAACTAATCAATGCTCAAATAAAAAAAGCATTTTTGATTTTTTTGATTTTTTTTACAAAATTTGCATGAACAAAATATAATTTACAAAAAAAAAAAAAAAAATTAATTGAAATTTGCAAATTTACCTTAGTTATTCATACAATAATTTGACTCGAATTCTTCTTCTTATTATTTCTTAGGCATAGGAAGCACTTAATTTCTCTTAGGAGGGCATTGTGTTGGAGGTTAATCCTCTTTGTATTCGTTTGTTACTTGGATGATCAATGATATTGTTATTTAAAAAAAAAAAAAAAAGAAGGAACCAGGATAGGTCGTTGGTCCGCTGGCGGCTGATACATGTGTCCTTGAACGTTCGATGAATTTACTGTTTGTGCCAAACAAGCTGTTCTGACAAAAAAAAATAAAGAAAAGAAAATAAAAAAATAAAGAAAAGAATTGTGAAACAAAGAAAAAGTTTGTTGAAAGAAAGGACAGGCAGGAAAAGGTAAAAGATAGTTGCAGAAATTAGAGAGAGAAAGAGAGAGACAGAGAGAAGAATAGAGAAGAGACTTTTTGGGTCTTCAATTTCATTGCCGAATTTCACTGTTTTTGCACAGATCTCTTGTAAGTGTAAGTTGTACGCGTTTTCAGATTTAATTTAATCTATTTATGGGTTATTCTTGAAAACTCGCCGGAATTAATACTAAGCTGTCGAAATCGGTCAATTCTGTTGAAGAGGTAGATTTCTACGAATATTTGTGCAGATAAGAGGCGTCAAAGTTGTGTTTTTGAAGATGAAATTATGTAATCCATAAGGTACCCATTTTTTTTTTAATAAATTAATTTATATGGATGTTTGAATTAATCTTTGTTATTCCGCTTGTTGATTACTGCACTGATTATGCACATAAACTGAACTTTATGCTTAATTCTGGCAAAAATTTGTCAAAAAAGTTTGGAAAAAATAATTGAAGAACCTCGTGTTGTTGATAAATTATCTTTGAAGAGAACTCTTTGTATTAAGGATTTCTTTACAAATCTGGAACTTTTGCGCTGACAATTTTTATTTGCTTCTGAGTTTTGGCTCTTAGACTAGGTTAGTTTCTAAGTTTTTCTCATTTCCCCATAGTGCGGATTTGTGTTTTTATTTTTTCCTTTGTTGGGGTTATTGAAGCTTGTATTTTGGAGAGATGGAAGAGGTAGGTGCACAAGTAGCTTCACCAATATTCATCCACCAATCACTCGCTGGAAGATTTTGCGATGCGCATCCGATGGCCAAGAAACGCAATCTGCCTTTTCAGCCTGCGAGTTTTCCGCATCAGATTCCTTTGGATAACTGGAATCCAATGTCTTGGGATTGGGATAGTGCCAGGTTTGTTGCTAGACCTTCGCAATCTGATGTAGTCCAGAGTGGAAGTGCTACTCTGGCTCAGTTGAAGGTGTCAACTCATAAAGGTGTACAAAATAACACAGCAGATCCTAAGAATCCCGTGGAAGATGGAAATGATAATGAAAATCTTAGATTGAAGCTTGGAGCTGACGGAGATGGAAATGGAAGGAATGGTGTTTTGACTTCGGTAGAGGAGCCACAACCGGTGTCGAGGCCTAATAAAAGAGTCAGATCTGGATCGCCTTCTGGTGCTAGCTATCCTATGTGTCAAGTGGATAATTGTAAGGAAGATCTATCTACAGCCAAGGACTATCACCGCCGGCATAAGGTGTGTGAGGTTCATAGCAAAGCCAGCAAAGCCTTAGTTGGGAAACAGATGCAAAGATTCTGCCAGCAGTGCAGCAGGTTGGTATTTTGGCTATCAGCTCTGCTTAGTTAATACCTGATTTCATCCTGTGTGATTGTTGTGTTTGATTCCCATACTCTAAGTTGGCCTAATTTATTTTAGGAGAAGGATTATTTTTAAGCTGCTATTATTATGTCAAATTTGTTTGGCATGTTATTGCTTTCGCAGATGTGCACGATAAGACAGCGTTTTATCAACATTTCTTTTTTCTTTGTCAGGTTCCACCCCCTTTTGGAATTTGATGAGGGAAAGAGAAGCTGTAGGCGTAGACTCGCTGGGCATAACAGGAGGAGGAGAAAAACTCAGCCAGATGATACTACTTCACGGTTGTCAGTTCCTGAAAACCGTGACAAGAGTGGAAACTGTGATCTGGATATTGTCAATTTGTTGGCAGTTCTAGCTCGTGCACAAGGTATAACTAGCTAAGCATATTGATTTGGCACATTGGTGATCTGGCTGTGGCACCCTAATGCAATTACAAATTTTTTTTGGGTGGGGGGTGGTGGTCATTTCTAATTCTTGCTCTATAAATTTTTTCTGTTGTGAAAAAATAAACTTTTTGTGGATTTGTGATATACGAGTAGCGGCATGTGCATGAGAACTCGTGCCATCACGTGCACATAAGCATACACACCCTTCATTCTCTCGTATCTTGGACACATCTGACATTTTGATAAATATGTTTGCTTATGATTGTAGGAAATACTGAGGACAGGAGCAGCAAAATCTCACGCGTACCTGATAAAGATCAGCTTATACAATTGCTTAGTAAAATAAACTCTTTGCCCTTGCCTTCAAACTTAGCAGCCAAATTGCCTGTTTTGGGAGGTTTGGATGGAAGGATTCCGAACCTTGTATCCTCTGGAAATATGAATCGATTGAATGGGAATGTTTCTTTGCCATCAACGATGGACTTGTTGGCTGTTCTTTCAGAAAATCCAGCAGCAGCACCCTCTTCTGATGTAATTGAAATTCAATCTCAACCAAGCAGCGATGGAAGTGACTCTGAGAAAAGTAAGTCAGCCTTTGTTGAACAAGCTACATCTCTCTATTTGCAAAAAAGATCTGCTTTGGAGTTTCCCTCAGTTGGAGGAGAGAGAAGTGGTACAAGTTATCATTCTCCTGTGGCAGATTCGGATTGCTATGTTCAAGAGACATGTCCAAATTTGCTGTTACAACTCTTTAATTCTTCTCCTGAAGATGATAGCTTAAGAAAATTACCATCTGGTAGAAACTATTTCTCATCTGACAGTAGCAATCCTTCACAAGAGAGGTCTCCTTCATCTTCACCACCCGTTGTACATAACCTGTTCCCAATGCACACTTCAAGAGAACCTATGAAGCCTGACAGTGTGTCTACTAGTGAAGTGAATACTGTGTATGCGAAAGCAACTACAATCAATGAGTGCAGTACTTCTCTTCAACTTTTTGGAGCATCAACTAGAGCTGCCGAAAATGGCTCTATTCAGAGTTTTCCTCACCAAGCAGGGTATACATCTTCTTCGGGGTCTGATCATTCACCATCGATTTTGAATTCTGGTGCTCAGGTACTTGATAACCACTCCCTTGTTTATCTTTTGAGCACCTTTGTCATGTACCATATCTTAGTTGTGTTTACCTTGGATACATTTCATTGGATATATTTTGATGTGTAGGATCGTAATGGCCGAATTGTTTTTAAACTATTTGACAAGGATCCCAGTCATTTGCCTGGGTCGTTGAGAGCGCAGGTGAGATATTGCTGCTTGACTTTTAGATTGTTCTCCTTATTCTTACTGGATACCTCATGGTGTACTTTCCCACTCTTTTCAGATATACAATTGGCTTGCTAACAGTCCATCAGAAATGGAAAGCTATATTAGGCCTGGTTGCATAGTTCTATCTGTGTATTTATCGATGTCCTCCTATGCCTGGGATCGAGTGAGTGCTGTTGTGTAAAATATTTTAGCTTTACCTACATAGCTTTCAATTGACCATCTTTTGGACCTGTGTTTTTGCAGCTTGAAGGAAACCTCCTTGATTATGTAAAGTCTTTGGTCAATGATAATAACACTGACTTCTGGAGAAATGGAAGATTTTTGGTTCACACAGATAAACAAATGGCTTCCTATAAAGACGGTATTCTTCGTTATCTTTTTTACTAGTTTCTTAAGTGTGTCCATACGTGCTCGCACTTGCGCACATGCACGCACACCCCTTAGACATCAAAATCTTGATGAAATTTCCTGTTTTAACTTCTGTTCCTTGCGTCAAATCAATCTTTAGGAAAGATTCATCTTCGCAAGTCCTGGAAAGCCTGGAATACCCCAGAATTGATCTTAGTTTCACCTGTGGCAGTTGTTGGTGGGCAAGAGACCTCTCTTCTGTTGAAGGGGAAAAATTTGACTATTCCAGGCACCAAGTACGTGTCTGATATTTTGTTCACTTAAACCCCTTCATATATTGGGATGTTCTTTCCTCAAGATTTTTTCTTTAATTATCATCCAGGATATATTGTACGCATACAACTGGGTACAATATGAAAGAATTTCCAGCATTGGCATGTCAAGAAACTGTATATGATGAGATAATCTTGGATAGCTTTAAAATTCATGGAGCATCATCTAGTGTGCTCGGCCGTTGTTTCATTGAGGTAGCATTTCCTTAGAGAATAATCTCTTTTATAATCTAGTACTAAATTTCAAATTATTGACATGTTTATGTGGAAGCAGGTTGAAAATGGTTTAAGAGGTACCAGTTTTCCGGTAATCATAGCAGATAATACCATCTGTCAAGAATTGAGACTTCTCGAGTCTGTAATCAATGAAGGTGCTGAATTGCACGATGGCATTTCATCTGATCACATTGAGAATCCAGGTATGCCCAGGACGAGGGAAGAAGTCCTCCATTTTTTGGATGAACTTGGCTGGCTTTTCCAGAGAAAACACAACAATTCCTTGTTTGAGAGCCCGGATTATAGGCTTAGTCAGTTCAGATTTCTTCTTACATTTTCTGTTGAACACGACTTTTGTGCTTTGACCAAAACACTCCTGGACATTCTGCTGGAAATAAACTTGGGTCGTGAAGGGTTGGCAAAGGAGTCTCTGGAGATGCTATCAGAAATCCACCTGTTAAACAGGGCCGTCAATAGGAAGTGTAGGAGAATGGTTGATTTGCTTATTCGTTACTCCATTAGTGACAATTCTGATTCCTCCATGAAGTATATCTTTGTACCCAATTTGGCTGGACCTGGTGGTATCACACCTTTACATTTGGCTGCTTCTACATTGGGTTCAGATGACATGGTAGATGTTCTGACAAGCGACCCACAGGAGGTACTTCTATTTTCCTCTTAAAACTCCAATTTGACTTCACTCTGAGGTTTGAAAATCCTGGGGTTTTAAGGATAAGAATTTTATGAATATTTCACTTGCATAATTCCATTTTCACGACAGTTTGGAGCTAACTCAAAATGCTTTATAACGTAATACTGCAGTTAAAATTTTTTTTTGGCCTCTGGTGTAGGGGTGGGCATTCACATGTGTTCATCTACTTTGCAAATTTGGATCCTTACATTTTCGTATTGTATCTGTAGATTGGGTTGCATTGCTGGAAATCTGTTCTTGATGCAAATGGGCTGTCTCCCTATGCATATGCCTTGATGAGGAACAACCACTCCTATAACACGCTTGTTGCTCAGAAGCTTGCACATAAAAAAAGTGACCAAATTTCTGTATCAATTGGAAATGAGATTGAGCAACTCGGCGTGGAAGTTGATCATGGCCACAAGAATACCCTCCATATCAACCAAGGACTTAAATCTTGTACCAGGTGTGCAGCTGCCGCAGGTAGATACAGCAGAAAGTTTCCAGGTTCACAAGGATTGCTTCAACGTCCATACATTCTTTCAATGCTCGCCATTGCTGCTGTATGCGTTTGTGTCTGTCTGTTCTTTAGAGGGGCACCAGATATTGGTTCAGTTGCCCCATTCAAGTGGGAGAATTTGGGTTATGGTTCATTTTAGTTTCTATTTATACAAAAGATCTTGTGAATGAGGATGGGACCAGAAAAGTAACCACATTGGAAGGATGATCAAACCAGAGACGAGGAGATATATTTGCAGCGGGTGTACCACTTCATACAGTTATTTCCTTTGAAAATGAAGAGTAATCAGTGAAGGTGGTATGGATTCCTACCACAATTCAGAATTATTAAGAGCTTAGCCTACTTTGACGCTTGACAAATAGCTCGGGATCTATCTGGATGCAAAGCTGCTTCTGATACTCGGCCTAATTAAGCATAATATATAATACGACATGGATTTTGGGACTTGGAATTATGCAAGTTCACGTTTGTTATGACACATTTCAGTGGCAATATTTAGGAGGAAATCGTTTTACACTTTAGATTTTGATTGAAGTACTTGACCTTTACTATGGATGTTGTACTCAATGTGAGGTGATTTTATTACTGTAAAGAATCAGTAGGTAAATAGAAATTGCAATGTTTTATAGCTGAATAGAGATCTATTTTTCACATCATATCGGTAATAAAAGATATCGGGTTGTCCATTCTAACAAAGTTTTTCTTTAATTTATTGATACGTTTAAATTGCAACTAAATCCGTAAGCTCCTGTTTGATCCACATTAAAATTTTCATTTTCATTCTTTTACTCATTTTTAGTCATACATTGTTTAATAAAATAATATTTTTCATCACATCAATAATTTTTCTTTCTTTTTCAACCACATATTCTCTATCAATCTGCTATTTTAAAATACATTCTTTCAAAATAATATGACTCAAACACACCCTAAGTTCATAATCCTAAGTTCATTCCCATGTAGGACAGAACATATCTACTAATTCTTTAGTTCCATTTAGTAAAAGGGATTTTTAACTAAGAAGTAGACCCTATAGCTATTCTGAGCAATTGCAACAAGGAAAACGTCATTTGTATATTTTAAAGTATACATCATGTTTGACACTTGTTTTGTTTTAAAAAAATTATTATAGAGGAAAAGCTGTTTATTTTTTGAAATTATCAAACAACAGTTTCTCGTGTGTGGAAATAGAGATCACTCTTCAACTTTGTCATATACTTGTTCACGGAAAATATTTATAAAGTTCATGCATACCCTGAGTAATCCTTGTATATTTAATCTATCAGCACGCTGATCATAGTATTTCGATTATAAAGTTAACACACTTGCATATTTTACAAGTTGAATGGACTTGAGAAAAAGAAAATTGAAATTTTACTGTTGTACCAAATAGTTCCTGAAAACATGTAGTAATGCCGTATTGGCCATAGACGGCTTCAATCAATTATTTTCCGTTCTTAATCTTCTGCTGCGCCTCCCTCTTGTGATACTGTCTACAAGGTATTCACCCACACCATTTCCAGCTCCCTCAATAAACCCTCCTACGAATTTAATAAAGACTTTCGAAGCAATCAAGACGGTATTTCCGACCGTGTTCGGCTTTTCCGGGTGAGGGATACCGTTGTCGTGGAGTCCATTAATCAAATCCTTTGCACAAACTGCATGGAGATGGTAATCGCAAACCTTGCAACGATACATTCGACCTGACCTCCCCTTCTTGCACTCACTGCAAGGAATCCCAGTATCTGAACCTGATGAGGATGTATTCACTGGTGGTAACAGTTTCAATGTGTGTGGATGCACAGAAAAGTTCATTTCAGTCGAAAGCTTTGCGCAGCACGGGTGCATCTGGAAGCTGCAAGCCCTGCATCTGAAAGTAAACCCTTTGGTTGATTTGTTACAGACATCACACTTTGGCCATGAAATTCCAGCGTTTGCTGACAGTTAAAACTCCATGTTATTGTCAAGATGATCAAGTACTTGTATAGAAAAGATACATGGAAGTAAATCAGGGCGGATCGCACCTTGTTTTGGTTTAGCATGGAACACGAGCTGGTGTTGGCCGTGGAGGGGATGGTTTTGTAACAGTGAAGGCAATGATGCGCAGAAATCGTGGAGCTGAAAATCACATTGCTGGCATGCATATCTCTTGCCAGATCCATACTCCTTGCAGCCGGTGCATGTAAAGAGGTCAGGCAAATCGACTTTTTTCAAGGGGTGTTTTGAGTGAGTGGAATGAGTTATTTCTTCAACAATTTCAGGCTGGGGTGAGGTTGGAAATCCTGTCCGGGAATTCTTGTTCTTGCCCATTGAGGCAGAGGATTTCAGCTGGGGATGCATTGGTGCTCAAACTATGGTGCAATATGGGAACAAGGGAATATTTATTTATGCTGGCTAAAAGTGATCACTTCCTAAGCATCATTTGAAACAGGAGAGTGGAAAGAGAGAAGATATCAAGTTTTCCAAGTTAAGAATTTTTGAACGTTAAATCAAGCTTTTTGGAATTAGATACACTTTAAATTCACGAGTTATTTTTGTAACCGTGTTGACGGGGTTTGTACAATGAATTAGAATGAGTCAGTTAATATCTTGTCACGTACGTGCCTTAATCATGGACACACGATATGTACCCTTTTGAGATGCATGTGTTAATAGGATTGCTTGAGGCTAAAGAAGAGAGATATTTCAGATTAGTCCATCGTATTGCGGGTACTCAACACGCCTTGATGATTTTACGCTTCCACTTGAAAAAGGGAAATTTCAAAAATCCACATGGAAATCAAGAAAGAATAAATCTGTCTCAATACAATTTACTTTTTTAATTATCCAACCTTTTCAGTCTAATAATTCCGTTATTTTCCAAACAACTATCATTAGAGGTCACCTGGGGTCATAAAGTTTGACAATTTCAACAAAAAGAAGCCAATGAAGATCCAAATGTACAAGAAAAACTCACCACTTTCTATACTTAACTATGGAGGAAAAGAATAAAAACACTGTAGGAGGGTTCTTATTCGATTTAAAGTGGAAAACCAAGAAAAAGGTTGCAGACTCTTAGAGAGTTAAAACTTTCATCAAAGAATTTGTCACTCATTTTCTATGCTATGAGTTGTAATGCAATTTACAAAAGGAAAAAACACGTTTTAGGATTTCTCTCATCATACTCATCTAGATTTTGTGCACTATAGTATAATCTCTATAAATAATACTCGAATACTTCTCTATAAATCCTTACGCAACTCTTCGGTCCCATTAGTACCATAAATTAATAATTTGCTAAAATTACAAATAAAAGCCGCGTTTAACGCACATTGTTTCAAAATATATATTTCATAATTCATTTTCAACCACACATTCTTAATAAAATAATATTTTTCATCATATCAATAACTTTTTCTTACTTTTTAATCACATATTTTCCATCATATCATTGTTTAAAATACATTCATTTCTCAATAATATCAATCAAACACACTCATAATGACTGGTATTTTATTAAAATATGATTTTATCTTTATTTTTTTTCTTGAAATTTAAATCTAGTTGGATCTCATCTCTACTTTTCTTATTGCATCGAAGTTGTGGGATCGAGTTCTAGAATTGCAATAAAAATTATGAAATGTTGTTGATTTGATTGCTTTCTCGTGCATAACTTGCAACTAAGCCATGGTAACTTCGAATTATAAGAAGAATTTGTGTTTATCTATATAAAGATTATGTTTAAACTATTACACAAGTCCAATGAATTTATATTTTCGGCAATTTAATGTATATTTAGGGGATTGATTCATATCCAATTGATTAGATACTTAGTGTGTGTTTGAACCACATTATTTTGAAAGAATGTATTCTGAAATAGTAGATTGATGGATAATTTCTGATTGAAAAAGAAGAAAAGGTTATTGATGTGATGGAAAATATTATTTTATTGAAGAATGTGTGGTTGAAAATTAATAGAAGAATGAAAATAAAAATTTTAATGTGTACCAAACAGGGTAATATACAATGAACTTTAGTTGATTAAATGTATGATTGTCGACTTGTAAATACACTTAATAATTAATAAGCTATTAGTTTATCGATTAATCAACAAAATTATATGTTTCTAAAGTATTAATTTATGGGAAAATTACCTTAATCCCTACTTTTTTAAGTTTTCATTTCATTAATGAGGTAGTAATTTTTTTCTTTCAAAAATCCGGTTTATCACATTACAGCACATCCCCACGGGGACATTCCACCCCACCCTTGCGTAATAATTTCAGAGAGAGAGAGAAAATAAAACTAAACCCTAATTAGAAATTAGCCATTAATCTCTTTGCACTTTTTGGCGCGCGCACATTCTCTCTCTCTGCTAGGCCAAACACTCGTCCACTCATTTCCCATCTAAAATCTACACTTCCCTCGTTGAAATTCGTTCTAGATATTTCCATTTTTACAACTCTATTGATTTTTTCATCTATTTTTCAGCATTTATTATAGGGTGAACGGTGAAAATTTGTGCTGATATCTCCTGTGACGAATGATGGAGTGAGGCAGTAATTTGAAGCCTAATCTGAGCACAGTCAAAGAGGAGGAGGTAGCAGAAGCGTTGGGGTTTCTGTTGAGGAAGAGTTGTGGAGGTGGGTGCTATTTCCTATGGACAAGATGTTGCAGTCGAAGTCTTGTGGGTTTGTTATCATTGATGCGTTAGAGTCGGATCTATCAATTATTTAGTGTTCGAGATGGTCACTAGGTAAGAAATAAGTTGGTACCCAGTCTTCAATTTCATAGGTTGGAACCATCCCGTTGAGCATCTACAAGTAGATTTCATTCCAAATCACTAAAATCAATCAAGAATAGCTTCTACAATGTATGAAGAAATCAGAGAGATTTCTTCAGGATTTTATCTCACTTCACACTGATGATTTACCATAGTAAGCCTCACTCCAAACTCACCAACATACACTAAGTATATCAAAAATCTACTAAAGATTACAGATATGAAGATCATATTGAGAGGGAAAATCAAGAAACGCTCAAAATCGTCACAAACGGGGTGCTCACAAACCTGTATTTTAAAGTGCGATTTTATAAATAATAGTCAAAGGTCCGATTTAAGTCAACATGTGAGCCAGTTATCCCAAATTTCAACCATCGTCACCTTGCTGAACTATTTTAACTTCATTTAGTTTTCTGGAACAAACAATGTTTCACACACACTGGCAAACATGTAAAAACAAAAAAATTGAAGTTAGTTTAAAAATTACAAACAATAGTGCTTGATATTCTAAATATACTACATTTCAAGTAATATTTAGAATTTTCTAGCAATTTTTAAACTTATTTAAGGGAAGAACCTTGGTACCAAGATTAGAAGGATTAAATTCAGTAGGAATCTTCACTGAAGTGATCATCATACTTTTTTCTACCATCTCCCATACAAAATGAAATTTTGTATCAACAAGCTTAGTTCTATCACGATACACATGATTCTTATTAAGGCGAATGACACTTTGGCTATCAACATACAATCTAATAACTTCATCTATAAAACCAATTTCTTTTAGTAATCCTTCTAACTATAGTCCTTCCTTAACAGCATTGCATGCTACAATATATTCTGCCTCAGTAGAAGACAACAACAATCTTTTGCAATTGAAATTTCCAACTAATGTACCCATCACAAAGTGTGAAAATATATGAAGTAGATTTTCTTTTATCTAAATCACCTGCAAAATTAGAATCTACGAAGCCCTTCAAAATTATACCTTCATTACACTTTTTAAATTTCAGCCCTAACACAGATGAACCGTGTAAATATCTCACCATCCATTTTATAGCAAGCTAGTGTGTTTCACCTGCATTTGTTATAAATCTTCTCAAAATACTTATGCCATGAGCCAAATTAGGTCTAGTACATACCATTAAATACACAATAGATCCAACAGTGCTAGCATAAGGTATTTGGTTCATTCTTTCAATTTCTTCATCTGTTTTATTTGATTATTCACTTGACAGCTTAAAGTGATTTTCAAGAGGTAGTGTAACAGGTTTGCATTCAAACATAGAAAATTTTTCGAGTACTTTATTTATATTTGAACATTGATTCAAATAAAGAGTGTAGTTAAGTCTATCTCTTTTAATTTCCATAGCCAAAATTCTCTTAGCTTGATCTAGATCTTTCATTTCAAACTCAAATTTCAATTTTGATTTAATTATATGTATCTCAGTTTTATCATAGCAAGCAAGAAGTATATCATCAACATATAATAGAAGATAAACAGATTTAGACTTACCTGGACCTTTATAAACGAAACATGAATTAAAATTACTCTTAACAAATTCTAGAGTTTGAACATATGAGTTAAATTTCTTATACCATTGACTAGTGGCTTGTTTTAAACTATAGAGGAATTTTTTCAACAACAAACCTTATCAGATTTTTACTTAATTTCAAAACCTTTAGGCCGACTTATATATATAAATTCATCTAGATCACCATTTAGAAAAACAATCTTAACATCAAGTTGATCCAATTCTCAGTCAAAATCAACAGTTAAGGCAAGCAAAATTTTGATTGAAGTATATTTTGTAACAGGTGAAAATATTTCATTACAATCAATGCCCTCCCTTTGTGAAAACCTTTACCTACTAATCTAGCTTTACATCTCTTATTTTTAGCATTAGACTCAACCTTTTTAATCTTATAAATACACTTACAATCAACTATTTAATGATTTTTAGGTCAGTTAACAAGAATCCATGTTTTTATTTTTAATAAAGGAGTCCATATCATCTTTCTTAGCTTTTTCCCAAAAAAAAAAATAAAAAAATAAAAATTAGATTCTTTATAGTTAACAACTTCTTCAAAGTTAGTAGGTTCAGAATTGAGAGAGTCTAAAGTAGAGAAAAAGGTCACAAAATCATCAATGTTGATTCTAGTAGAAGGGGATCTATTCTTCTACTTCTATCTCTAGTTAACTGATAATCAACTAGAGTAGGATTTTGACACTGATTTTCATTTTTAATATCACTTTGAACCTGATCTGTTTCAGATTGAGAAGTTCCCACCTTAATCTAATCATCAGACTCAGTAGGATTAGTACTTTAATTTTCCAAAACTGTTTCCTTAATTAATGGAGTTTCATCAGAGTTCAATTTAGAAGAAACAACACAAGGCATTTCATTCTCATTACTAATGGCGTTTCTACTTATAATGACCTTGAAACCATTTTTCTCTCTTAACCCAAAGTCTATAACACTTAGTTTCTTTTCCATAGCCTAGAAAAAATATTTTAAGGACTTATGTTCAAGTTTACCTTCACTTTAATGAGAATAAGTTGGACAACCAAGCACTT